GATGACACTTCACACACTAGAAAAGATTGCAATGAATTTAATAATATGATATGGCAAGGAATTATTTGCTGGAAAGATGGGAAGATAGCATTAAAAGATAGGAAGGATCTTCTTCAAACCAATTTTGGCAAGGGAGGAATGAGAGCATTGGTTCAAGATTACTTAAAAGAGCATGAAACAGCAGCACGAGAAAGTGCAAGTTATGGTGCTAGAGTAGATGATGACCTTGGTGGAAGTATGAAAATTAGTGAGTTTTGGGCTTCTGTTGTTTCTACAATGTAAGAAGGGAAATTACCTCGAGAAGCATTATTGAGGACTACAGCTACAATACGAGGTGCAACAGGTTGGGAGGATCCTGTTGAGTCTCTTTCAGTTCATGCATATATTGCTAAGAGCCAACATGAAGCTTTGATGGAAGAAAAGAGATGAGGAAATTTTGATGATACGAGAGAAGGAAATTCTTCTAAGAGGTAAACTCGAGGAAATAAGGCTCGGGAGGCAGCTTCACAAGAATTGCTTATAAAGGATACCTCAACATCATTGGAAGAAAAAACAAGGGAGACAAAAGATAAGGGCAAATCAATTGCTTATAAGCTACTTTCTGATATTGAAGTGGCAACAAATTTGAAAGGGGTGTTGGAAGAATGTATATTAAACGTTAAGGTGGAATTCACATTGAAAGAAGTCTTGGAAATTGCAAAGAAGGAGTTTCATGATGTTATCATTGACAGCATTAAGCAAAAGAGGCAATTAATGGGCGAAACTGGAATGAGTCATGCTATTGATGCAAGAATATGTAGAGATGAAGAAGAGGTTGATATTAGTTACCAGCAACCAACAAATGAAAAGAATGGGTATAATCAGCGTGTACATTTCAAAGATTCTAGTGACAAGGAAATGGAAACCTTGATCCATTATACTCGAAAGCATTGGGCAAGGGCAACTACTGAGGTATTGGTGAAAGTAGGAGATATAAAAGAACCAATTGTTGCTTTAGTCGACCATGGTTTTGAAATAAATCTCATGTCTAAAGATCTTTATAAGAAGCAAAAATGGCCAATTGATATGGAACATGGATGGAAAATATGAGCAGCTAATAACACACGAGGCAAATTATATAAAACTTGTCCAGATGTCAAAATTCGGATTGGGGATGTTGCGACGGAGCAACATTTCTTTGTTCAAGATACAACATCTTATCCGTTGATTTTAGGACAACCTTATATTACGACAACATGGTTGGAAAAAAAAGTACTTGACGATGGTTCTGCTTATGCAAGGATACGTAGCGAAGATGGGAGGAAAGCTGTAAAATTTCTAACAGTACCTTCTAACCATGAACGGAATCGAGATAGGTTGAGGGAAAAACCATTGCCAAAGATTGTTGAAGGATTTAAGGATTTTGGGGAGGTACCACTGTAAAGCGAGATTATGGAGGTACAAAAGAGGAGGTACTCTCGCAAGATGAAGGTGCCTTTGATGCGAGTTTTATTGGTATATTGGAAAATGGAAATATTATGTATAAGAAAGTTGATGATTTTAAAAGAAAAGAAAGAAAAAGATTATATAATATTGATGGAGAATTACACAAGTTTGGTACGCAGCAAGAAGATGAAAGTGATTTGGATAATGACGGTGACGAAGACAAACTGGACAAAGATGTAGAGAATATATTATAAATCACACAACAATTGGGTAAATTGGTGCATACCGAAGGATGCACAGGTTCAGAGGGGATAGATGTCGTGTTGTAACACGAGTATACCGTAAAAATATAAAGAAAGGAGACTTTTATTAATGTTCTGTTACCTCGAATATTGGGAGCAACGACCAATTCCAGTGCAAATACTAAGAGGCTAGGTTCAGTCAGCCCGTTACAGTCAGCCGAGGCCTATTGAAATACTCCATTCGATTCCAATAACAAGAGTCAGCAGAAAGGAAAAGGACCAATTCAACGACGGATGAGCCTGGTTCAAAGAGCCAATTGGATCCAATTTCAAGACATCCAATCCAGATCCTATTATGGGTCTCCTACCCAATATGAGACCTGACTTGGTCGGGCAACCCAATGCGGTCCAATTACGGAAACATCCAAGTGTTACTACAGGCCTCTTAGCCAATATGAGACCTGAATTGGTCGGGCGATTCAATGTGGTCCCGATTACGGGGCTCTGAATCCGTTTTAGGCTGTTCCGTCCTTTGTGCCATTCCGGGAACGTCCTTTCGGTAAAAAGATCTCTTAAAGGTAAAAACGGAGGAAAAAGCTCTGACGGCGGAGTCAATTCCGGATCCAAGACGGAAAATTGAAGAAATTCAGAGGCTAAGGTTTGAAAGAGGGGAGAATTAAGATTAAAGGGGAGGATAGGTTAAGAAATGGAGGAGAGAATAAGTTTTTTTTGAAGGGTCAGAGAGTGAGCTTCATGCTTCGGGAGGGAGAAAAAAGACAGAGAATTGGGGTTTTTTTTCATAGGGTTTTGGAAAGATTGTGGCAATCGTTGCTCAATTCAGTGTTGTACTGGTGAATCGGAGTTTTAATGAAGTGGGTGTGATTACTCTTCACTGTTTTGTAAAATCGAAGTTACGTCTGTGATTGAAGGATTAAAAGGATGTCTATAGGATTGAGTATGCGGAGTGAATGAAAATTTTTAGGTTAATCTAATAAGACAGTCAGTGGATACAAGATCGTGAGTATAAAGTGGTATCGAAGATTAGCAGTTTGGATTGTTCGGGGTTCTGTGTAACGTCTAGAGACCTTCCGGCTCGGACAAAAAGGATTTTGGTGAGCAGTCGAAGGACATCCGTATAGATTTACGATATATTCTTACAATCGTTTATATTCCAACAGTCAAAAATCAATAGATTGCTTGAATATTAGCGAATCTCCATAGTGCCTTCTACAGCCAGACGCCCGGTGCGTTCTCGAGCAAAAAAGTACGTAATATGACACTGTAGTATCGCTCTTGGTTGTCACCTACTATGACATTTATACATTTGACACTATTACAAGGTAGATATTATCATTCTCACTTCCAATAACTAGAAATCATAAGTTTTAAATTTGTGTGATATTATTTTATGCATTGCACTTGTATGACTTCTTTGCCGATCTATAATATTCATGTTGGTGATCAAGGTATAGGAGCATTTGGAACCCATTGAGAGAAGGTGACAAATCTTAGACTTTATTGCTGTAATAGGTATCTTTTAATCTGTTGTGGACATTCATGATTTTATTTGACTTGGTGAATAAATTTGTTTGTGAAGCTTCATTCCATCACAAAAGAATTCATATTCAATTAGTTTATTTATCTTATTTATGTCATTGATAGCTGACTCAGCACAATAGAAGACAATGCTTTAATTGTAATAGGTCAAAGGTGTTATTAACTGTGGCTGCTAAATGTGAATAGATGCCATCGAGTAGATGATGTGGGATTAATCAACATTTCACAAAGATGCCTTCTTTTCATGCACCTTGATGTCAATGTTTGTTAGATACATTTACCACTAGACTAAAATATATCATGGCATGATAATATTTCTTGAATTTTCATCAGCTTCATTGTTACAATAGAATATACATGAATTATATTTGACGTTATTATCATCTCTATAATTTCTTGAAATGCATTGCAACTCTTGAAATGGTGCCTCCTTTGATGTAGAATGTAGGAGATATAAGCCTTGTGGCTTTGGAAACGGGTTGCCCTCTTCTTAAAGAGGTCATTCTTTTACACTATCAAAAAATAAAAAATGTAGACTTAGGCCAATTGGTATAAAATTGCCAAACTATAGAATCATGTCATATGATGTACTATCCGTGTATAACCTCAATTAGCGTGGCCATAGTACCTGCCAACTATAATTCACTCAAAAAGGTTGTGGTTGAGAAGTAAAAAATTATTAATCACACTCGAAGAAGACATGCCATTATATTAGCAGAGCTTTGTATAGAGCAATGATTAATTTTTTATTTCTATTAATGGTAGGAATTGCTACACTTGGGTTAAAAGAAGACTTCATCCCTATAAAAAAAACTTTATTAATACAAGAAAGATAGTGGATTTTATCAAGTTCAAGTACGATATTTTTTTACAAAAAGAATATATTCTTTCATTTTGACATAGCTTGTATTAACATATTTAACAAAGATTCCATTTAGTGAGAAATTTTTCTTGTTAGATGAGCGGAATAGTAGACACTTGATTCAATCACATAAGTACTTTCATTAATGAACATACTAGTCTATTCTAATATGGCGAGTCTCCCAATTGTGTGTTTTAGAAGGTGCAAATAATAGCACATCTTTTTCTCATTCGACCTATAAACAAAAAGTGATTGTTATTCAAAGAGAAATGGTAAAAGAAATAAAAATTTGATCGTATTGAGATTGCATTTTGCACTTGCATAACGTGATTCACTAGACAAACTTTGAAACATGAGAACGCTTATCCCTATTCATTCTATTCTTCCAACTTGTTAGAGTATAACATGACATCCTAAGTATTGTCGATACAATTTCAAAGTGGAAATATATACATTCATATTTCTAGTAGAGGATAATGATGGCAAAACGACACCTTTATACTTTGCAAATAGTTAAGCCTCAGCAATGAAAACAGGGTTCCAACTCAACATCAAACCATACTAAATCAATTTACTCAAATAGTTTGAGATAAGGCGATCCAAGATACTACTTTGTTTGTTTGTTTTTCTTTCTTTCTTCTTATGTTGTTTTCCACTTCCTCTATCACCATCTTCTATCACTTGCAGTTGGTCACCTAAGCCAATCAAATCCTATGTTGTTTTTTTTATCCTACTCCTGATACCAATGTTGAATAGATATTGTAAGCCCTGTCTGTTGTGTGCGTGTGTGTGTTGTGCTCAATGCAGTTAGGTACACCATTGTTAGTAGGCTCATTATCGTCCCTTGGATGATACAACCCATCAGTGTTCTTTTCATCCGAACCATCTAGGGTTTCAAGCGCACCACAGATCGTCGACCTCCTTTGACCCCTTAATCACTTCCCTTCGCCCTCTCGCAGCGAAACCCTGTCGTGTGCTCTCCCATCGCTTCGAATTGCTCGAATCTGTGCTTACATACATGACGCATGCAAACAACGTGACACCTCTTTGTCGCATGCAAACAACGTGATACCTCTTTGCCGCATGCAAAAAACGTGACACCTCTTTGCCGCATGCAAACAACGTGAGAGCGAGGAGCCGCGGATGCTAGGTAATCCTGTGGTTTTTTATTTTTTTTGGTTCCGAGATTGTTATGATGACTTTCTATGTTTCGAGTGTGGTGCTCGAGGTGATGCCCTGAAGCCAGACAATAGGGTTGATCGTAAGCTCATTTTTGGTGTACCCTATGCAAGCGCGTGAACAATCAAGAGGTTTTGGGTTTTTTAAGAAGATTGAATATTGTAGATATTATAAGTTATGATATTAATCTAGCAGAATTTCGAATCTTTTGCTATTGGCTTGGGTTGTCTTGCATTCTTGCGTGATGTGTACTGAGTATTTGTTTGTGTGCTTGTTAATTTTGTGATTCCGGCTTCAGGGATGAAGATTGGCAAGAAGATGATGGAGCATTGAACAGCATATCACAATTGTATCCTGGCTAGACTTGTGCGCAATCGAATTGCGAGGTAGGAGCGGATCTGAATGATGTATACAACGGAAGACTTCTACAACCTGGAATATGGTGAGATTATCTTCAAACTTGTTCATCTACGAAGATTCTTAGTCCATTTTGAGGATTGAGCTTTCTTTGACTCACAGTTGCAATCTCTCTGTGTCATATGTCTTGAAAGACTAAATGTGCTCAATCTGTTTGTATCATATATCTTGAATGACTCAGTGTTGTCAACAGAAGATCTGACCTGGGGCACTTCCACTGCATGTAATATTGAACTTTAGTCGGAGATTACATTACACTTGCAATGCTCTTGATTGAACTGTCAACAGAACATCGTACTCAGATTTGGTAACCTCTTGACGAGCTTCACCGGGCTTGTTATCAGAGTCAACGCACCAGCTGCCTCGAGATAAAAAATTTCTCCAGTATCACCGATCAATCACAACAAGAAGGATGATAAGGGATCGACTGCAGGAATCTCTTTCGTAAGAGCAAAGTGTCACGAATATCCGAGATAAGTAGCAAAAAACAGCACTTTCACCTTTGAAGAGGAACACCTGAAGCATAACTGCGGTTGTCCGAACCAACCAATGAGTAGAAGCTTCCATTCACTTGTAACACATTCAGGAAGACCATGTCTTTCACCATCGACAAAAAGTCTAGTTTGGAACGACACTTATCAGATAACGTCGTCCTGGGCAAGCATGTGATAGATAGAAGAACGAGGAAAGGCGATCCTGGATACTAGTTTTTTCTATTATATACTTTCTTCTTGTGTTTTTTTCCGCTTCTATCTCACCATCTTCTGTTTCATGCAGTTGGTCACCGAAGCCGGGCGAATCTTTTGTAGAACTTGAAGAACTTTTTAAAAGATTGGACCATAGAAGTAAAGATGTTCGATTTAAAGATTGTGAATTGGCAAACTATCTATCAACAAGATTGAGGAACTTGTAGTCTGTAGATGGTGGAGAGATGGATTTTTTGGAAGTATCAAGTGATATCAAAAATTTAGAGCTTGTGAGAATTATAAATGAAGGTGCATTTAAAAAGGTTTATGAATCAAAGTGGTTTGGACTTGCAATTGCAACAAAAATAATGGATGCTAGTTGGAATGATATGTTCATGAAAGAAGTGGGTATCTTGGCTATCACAAGTCATTCAAACTTGATCAAATATTATTATGCTGCCAAAAGTAATGCAAATGAGAATGGAGAGTGTTCAAAGATGAATAAATCAAGAGAAAACGGTTACTTGGTGATGGAATTGATGCAAATAAGTTTGAGCAACATATTGGAGGCAAAAAGAGCAATGCCATACTACTTTCTTATTGATGTTATTTATCAAATTGCAAGAAGAATGTGTTATTTACATGACATAGAAATTGCACATCGAGATTTAAAGTCGGAGAATGTACTACTTAATGTAATAGATGATGGTAAATCTGGTAATGGTTTACATTATGCTGTTGGGAAGTTGATTGATTTTGGTTGTTCAAAGATCAATGTAGGTAGGAATCCAAAAGTTAAAGAAAATAAATACATATATGGGACTTTAAGATACATAGCTCCAGAGATATTGAAAAGTACAACGAAATCAATAGAGATGTATGCTTTTGAAGCAGATGTGTATTCTTTTGCAATGACATGTTCGAAGATTCTTTCAGGTGAAGATCCATTTGATGGTATCGACACTAAAAAAGAATTATTGAAAAAGATTGAGAAAGGTGAAAGACCAAAGTTGCCTTCAAATTGTGATGATTTGAGTAAATTGATTGAAGAATGTTGGACTTTGAATCCTTCAAGAAGACCTAGTTTTGGGGACATTTGCAAGAGACTCATAACATTGAAAAAAAAATACTTGGTGGGAATTGATGTAGCCAAAATACCTCATTTTGGAGTATTTAAGAAAGAAGATCATAAAAGAAGTAAATCAAAAGATGTTAATATTGGTGATACATTGATAAGTTTTATATTAGAGATTTGGTGTGATATGAACCTTGCATTGGTTTATATGATTTTAAGATCTACACATTTAAATATGTGAAAGTTAATGAAGTTGTTTTGTCAAAATATGAATATGTGGTAAGATTAGTTTTTAGAAACTATAGCATGAATTATATATTTGTTAACATCTTGATTTGGTTAATTGCATAGGTACATGATTGTGAAGACAATATAATGGGTGTAGAACAATTTTTGTCAAACATCAAACAACTATGTAAGAATGGAATAAATGCATTGTGTTTTGTTGGTATGAGTGGAATTGGAAAGACCACATTAGAAAAGTTTACATTTGATACTATGCAACACATGTACAATGTATTATGCTTTGTTGAAGGTATTCAAAAAAAGGATAGTGCTCTTTCAATAATTTGCAAAGTTTTGAACCAACTAAACTTTGAATCAAAACCAAGGAGTTTAGAAGAAGTACAAGCTATGATGAAAGAAGTATTGATGAGCAAAAAGTTCATGATGGTCTTGGATGATGTGAAGGACAAGAGTCAAATCAATGATGTAGTACCTACAAATATTCTATGTTTTAACAAAGGTAGCATATTAATTGTGACAACTCAAAATTGGGAGGTGGTAAAAAGCTAACCTACAAAGATTCATAAATTTGATATTGGAGAACTAAACAAAGATGCAAGTTTGAAGTTGTTTACAGCTTATTCTTATAGGGATGGTGATGAATTGTCTAAAGAACTTATTGAGGTTGGCAAAGAGATTGTAAGATCTTGTAATGGACTATCCTTGAGTTTAAAAGTTTTGGGATCATTTTTCGGAGGACAAAAGAAGTTGAAATGTTGGGAAAGAGCTTTGCAAAAGTTAAGAAGAGGAAGACCTTTGGATGGAGATGAAATAGATAGTGAATATAAGCTATGGACTGTTTTGAAGATAAGTTTTGATGCCATGAAAGTTGAAGAAAAGAACATGTTTTTGGACATATGTTGCTTCTTTTGTAACAATGTGAAATGGGATGGTACAATCAAAAAAGACCATAATACAAATATGAACCAATAAAAAAAGTGGAGTTGAAGAGCAAGATGCAAGTATTGTTTTAGATATGTTGATTCATCAATCAATGATAAAAATAAAAAAAGATGGAGTAATAAAAGTGCATGATCAATTACAAGATATGGGATGAAATATTGTTAAAGAAGAAAAAGAATACAAAGACACACGAATTTGGATTGCAAATATGATGCCGATGCATGGAGTAACAACAAAGGTAAGACTTTCAAATAGTGGTAGAATAACTTGAATACAATTATTGACATAAAATAAATAATAAAGAAAATTAAAGTAGAAGACATTTGAATTTTTATTAAGTACAATATTACAAAACTTGTATGTTGCAATGTAAAATACTTAAAGATTTGTATACGGTTGAAGTACTTGATAAAGCTATGGATTGTGATTTCTAATTATTTTCTTGTCATGTTGATTAGTTGGAAGGTATAATTCTTAATTATAACATGAAAGATAACTTGAGAAGGTTTATTATGAAAGGATTACAATTTTTTTCTTTATGAATTTTTGTATGTAACATTGATACAAAGCAAAGTGAAGATGTCTTTGAAATATTCATGTTATTCGTAGAAAATGCAAACAAGTTAAAAGTTTTGTTACTAAGAAATAATCATTATCATTATCTTTATGGATTTCACAACAAAATAAAGTTGCCCTTTGCAATGTGTAATGAAGAGTTTTAAAAAGTATTTGAAGAATTGACAATATTGAGTCTAATAGGATTTACTTTTGGTGAACCACTACCTAGAACATTGTTTACATCTAGTACGTTGATGAGACTTGATTTAGATGGATCTATTGAACTCAATGTAATACATAATGGCTTTAAAAACCTTACAAATTTAATAAACATAAGATTACTAAATAACAAAACTTTAAATATAATGTCAAAAGAATAGACAAACATAACTTCTCTAAAAACACTTGATATAACTAGATGTGCAAGCTTGATAAGCTTACCAAATGAATTAGAAAATCTTTCTTCTTTTGAAGAACTTTATTTAAATCGTTGCTCAAGTTTGATAAATTTACCAAATGAATTGGCAAATCTTTCTTATTTAAAAAAGCTTGATTTAAGATATTGCTCAAGCTCAATAAGCTTACCAAATGAATTGAAAAATCTTTCTTCTTTAACAATACTTGATTTGAGTGGTTGCTCAAGCTTGAAAAGCTTGCCAAATGAGTTAATAAATCTTTCTTCTTTAGAAGAACTTGATTTGAATGGTTACTCAAGCTTGACATGCTTGCCAAATGAATTGGTAAATCTTTTTTCTTTGACAAGACTTAATTTGAGAGGTTGTTCAAGCTTGACAAGCTTATCAAATGAATTAGCAAATCTTGCTTCTTTGGCAAGACTTAATTTGAGTGGTTTCTCAAGCTTGACAAGCTTGCCAAATGAATTTACAAATCTTTCTTCTTTAGAAGGACTTGATTTGAATATTTGCTCAAGCTTGATAAGGTTGCCAAACGAATTGAAAAATCTTTCTTCTTTGACAATACTTGTTTTGAGGGATTGGTTAAGCTTGACAAGCTTGCCAAATAAATTGGCAAAACTTTCTTCTTTGACAAGACTTGATTTGAGTGATTGCTCAAGCTTGACATGCTTGCCAAATAAATTGGTAAATCTTTCTTTTTTGATATGACTTGATTTGAGTGGTTGCTCAAGCTTGACAAGCTTGCCAAATGAATTGGCAAAACTTTCTTCTTTGACAAGTCTTGATTTGAGTGATTGCTCAAGCTTGACAAGCTTGCCAAATGAGTTAGTAAATCTTTCTTTTTTGACAAGACTTCATTTGAGTGGTTGCTCAAGCTTGACAAGCTTGCCAAATGAATTAGCAAATCTTTCTTCTTTGACAATACTTGATTTGAGTGGTTGCTCAAGCTTAACAAGCTTACCAAATGAATTGGCAAATCTTTTTTTTTGAAAGCAATTGTTTTGGAAATTAGATTGTTTCCTATTATGATGGAGTCTATGCAAAAAAAAAGAAAATTTGGTCAAAATCTTAATGCTTAGGCATCCAACATAGAAAGAGTCTCCATAGCAAGTTATTGAAGACATCTTCTTTCTTGCCATGGCTAGCCTTAATTTGACCATTGAACAATCTATAGTCAAACTTGTTGTTGATTCCAAGAATGTGCATGACTTGATGGATTATCCCCTCTCAAATGTGAAAGGTCGATATAGATTTACAAATCACAAGTAAAAGCCCTCACAAAGATTAATTTTAAGCCTTTATTCTAATTAGTTTTTTATAGAAATAATTTTGGTTTGTTTTCTTAGGCTTATATTATCAGAAGCTCCATAATGGCTTTGTAGAGTATTCACTAGATTTTTGTAATGTGTTGTCAAAAATTGTGCAATATAATTGACTATATTTTTAAACTCTTGGATTTATACTTTGTAACTTTTGCTAATTATGATGGTGAGTGAATCAATCATCAATGCAACAAGCTTGAAAGAAGATGTTTTTGTTAAATCCTAGATGTTGAATATTTGACATTTGAAAATTCATGCCTCTAAAGTTTTGTGCTACATAGAATATTGTTGTACTTATGTAAACAAGGAATTGCTAATAATGAATTAATTGCTTAAATACAATGTTGCCTTCATGTTGATGCTTAGTCAATTGGAAAAGTAAGTGATGCAATTTAATTTGCAATAATATTTGGACTTTATGTAGTTATAAAAAAAAAAAAAAAAAATACAATAATGGCAATCAACATCATTTTTATCCATGAAAAATTAGAGCCATGTACAAGGATCTTATAGATGAAGTCTTAAGGGATTAAAGTTCATTAGTTTCTTCTCTTTTATAAATATCAAGGAGTTTCTAAATATCCAATTAAAAACTCAAAAGGTTCTTCAAATTAATGAACTTATTATTTTAACTACATATTTTGATAGGTGAATCATTAGACTGAAGTTCTATGCCAAAAACTTATTAAATCTTCATGCTCTTTTATGTCGGTTTTGTTTCTTTAAAAATTTGCTCCACATATTACAAAAATATTGAATGCATTTAGTGACTAATAAAATATTATTCAAAATATTGTTTCACATGAAAGATATTCAAATGCTATAAGAAAAACAGCCACAAAAACAAAAGTAGACAAAAAAAAAAAAAAAAAAAAAAAATCCACTTGAATTTGAAGTGTCATTGATATACAACACTTTCATATTGCATCATTTTTTTTATAAAATCAAAGAACGTAAGTGATAACCAATCCATTAGAAAAATAAGATTTATAAAGAAGCTCCATTCCATGTATGACTTCCAAACACCACTCGACTCAAAGGCTAGCATGTTGATCAATTAGAGTAAGTGAGAAGGTGTTGGATGTAAGAACCGGAAACTAGCATGGATATGGCATTGGCAACAGCATAATATAATTATAGCAATAGATAGAATAAATAAGGGAGCTTAAGTTCTAAAAATAGATCATAAAACTTTCAACTCTAAAAACAGAGTGGCAAAAGAAAGAAGAAAAAGAATTAAAGAGTAATCAAATTTTATATAGCTCTTCTTGAAAGAATTGCCAACCAAACTCTTTGTGACATTGTCCTAGATAGCATTGGATTGTGCTACTTTGAAGCCAAAGCAATCTTGAGATGATTTAGCAATAAAGCTAATTTGTCCACTCACTCTCTTGTTCTCTTTCTTTCTTTCTTTCTTGTCATGATCTTTTTTTTGCCCTAATTTTCCATATCTAATAAGTTTATCACATATGTTCAAAAGCAAAAAAATTATAAAATATTAGTTGATGTGTCAATTTTAATACAAAGCAATACAAAAACAACATAGTGCATGTTCTAATGCATCACTTTGATCTCTTGTTAGAAATATTTCTATTCCAGAAAAATTTTGTTTTCATAAATTCCATATTTTTTGATTATCTCAGCAATATGTTTTTTAGAAGAAAATTTCTTGCCTTATAATTCATCTATCATGACATAATGTACCACTACTTGACTACACTAATACTTGAACATGTCTTAAAAGTACTGCAATTTACACTTCCATTCAATAATGTTATCTTTCTAAAAGTTAAATTCTTTCATCAACTTTGTATCCTTGAAGTTAAAGTTTGTTTGAGAATAATACTTGATAATGTAACATAAATTTAAATCTTTGAAATATTCTACATCCAACAATTCCACATATTTGATTATCTTTAAAGTTTTCTTTGTCAAAGGATCTTACAATACTACATGATTTCCAAAAGCAATTAATCAAAACTTTGGAATGCTGTAAATAATAGCAATCCACATATTATATAATAGGCATTGGATATTGTTGTAAAATTGCTTAAAGATTTCAAATTCTTAATTAAATCCTTCAACATCATCTAATCTCTTCATTAACATAACATGC